TCAAATTTTATTTTAGTCAAAAGGGAAAAAGAAAATGTAAGTGATAACGATATTTATAAAGAATATCTTATGCACTAAAGAGAGTAATTTTTTTAAAAAAGATTCAACAATATTCTCTATCTCGACTCTTTATTTTTATTTTTTCAAAAAAAATTATTGATTTTTCTTTATCTTTCATTTAACATATTTTTTTACATGTCAAATATGATTTGGATAATATAAGAAAAACCTCTTCGAATTCCAAGAATCGAATTTATCATATTTTAAAAAGTTAAAATCAAGAATCTTTTGAAACTTATTTTTATGTATTGAGTCTCTAAAATAGAGTCTGACTCTTAAATTACATTAAATATACTCGAGTTTTTTTAATTCATATATTTATCAAACCCGTCAAAACTGTACTATTCACCTAATAACTAGGAGCATGTTTGAACCCCTTTCTTTTGTCAAACTGTATTTTGAAATTGTATTTTGATGGAAAATGTATGGTTAAAAAATAAGAAAAAAATTTGAGTTCGCGTACAATATTATTTTATTGAAAAATTTATATTTGAAAATAAGAGAGAAAAATACAATTTCAAAATAATGGGACCAAACAAGGACTATATATAAATTACTCACTTTCTCTATTTTATTTTTCTTTTCTTTTTAGAAACGAGGCATTTGATTAAAAAAAAAAAATCGACTCGTTATTATTTAAACATAAATTATAACTGATTAAAGCTCATAAAAAAAATTAATTTCTTGATTTAATTTTTTTTAAAACTGAAATATTGTTCTATAAAAAGGGCAATCTTCTTTTTGGGGTAACATTAATTTATTTCCTTATACTAAAACCTTTTTTCGGTGGAAGGATAATTCCCATTTTACTATTTATTTTCTGAGAATAGTCAGTCACAAATGGAAGAAAATATTAAGAATAATGTGTAACAAAGAAACATTGTAAACTCAATACCCAAAGGCAAAGATTATCGTATTTAGCCCTTGTTTGAGTTAAATTAAAATTTTCTTTTTCACCCTCCTACTCATTTTCAACCATACATTCTTTAATAAAATAATATTTTTCATCATATCAATAACTTTTCCTTCTTTTTCAACAACATATTCTCCTTCAATCTACCATTTCAAAATAATGTTGCTCAAACACCCTTAGTGTATAATATGGGTAATTAGCACAAAACGTCCATAAATTTTAATATTATTGTGCAAAATGTTTCTACCGTCCACAAAATGTTTTCACACTTTATTTTCACATTTCATTGTAAAAATCATTGTTTTTATCCATTCTCTCAATTAAAAATTAGGGATGGCAGGGTTCGGGGCGGGAATAAATCACTTAATCGAGTATTCGGGGTAGGGACAGGTAACTAGCGCTTCACCCCGTTTAACTTCTTTTTTTAATTCAATATTTTAAATGAAAAATTTCACAAAATTTCATTCGTTCTAATAGAAAATGCTAACTAAAATTATTTGTCTAAATTTAATGAATGTGAACAAAAAAAATAAATCATCAAAAACTTAAAAAGAAAATTAAACGGAGTAATAAACCAGCCAAGAACCCCATCCCGCCTCGTCTTAAACGGGTAATGGGACGGGGAAGATTGACCTGACCCTACCCCGTTGCCATCCCTATTATAACATTTTGAGTGCGTATTGTATGTCTGAAGGAGAACATAGAGCAGGAAAGAGAGAATGCTCAGTGAACATGAACCATAGAATGGAATTCATGTTGCGGTACAAATCCCGCAATTGTAATGTACAAGTCTTCATTGAAGCTCTTTTCCACTTTCTCCGCTGAAATACATCAAGATAAAATATGCAAAGCGATATCGAGAAGGAAACTAGGCCCGGGGGTTGCTGTTGAAGTCACATTTTTTTTTTTAAGTTATGATTTTTAATTATTTGTTTAAAATTTATTTGTACATCTTAGAAAAATTTGGTGGTAAAGTAAAATTTGTTCTTTATGTTTCCATTCTTTCTTTCTGTTTTATTTAAAAAAAATGTATATCATCATTTCACAGTTTTTAATTGAGAATATAGATGAAAATGAAAATTTTCGCAATGAAATATGAATATAAAGGTGAAAATGCCAAAAATTAAAAGGTAGGCATGTAATGCACAATAATATTGAAAGGTATGCACATTTTGTGCTAATCACCCTCTATAAAATTATAGATTTGTATCACAGAGAAATAATGCCAAGCATTTAACAAGTCATCTCATTTATACCTTTTAACACTATTTTCCATATTGCAGAAGCAGATCCAAGTTTACTGAACATTTTTAAAATCGCATCGAGAAGCAGAAAGCACATTAAACATGCTGGCAAAAGTAAAAACAGAAGAGC